AGCTTCGGACAATACCTGAAGTACATGCAGGGCAAAGAGACAAGCAGTTGCAGTGAAACCACCTTGAATGGTGGCTTTCAAATGACCCTATTACAAAGCTTCGGACACTACCTGAAGTACATGCAGGGCAGAGAAACAAGCAGTTGCAGTGAAAGTGCTTGAATGGTTGCTTTCGAATGACCCTACAATGCTTCGGTGACTGCCTGAAGTACATGCAAGGCAAGAGACAAGCAGTTGCAGTGAAAGTACCTTGAGTGGTGGCTTTCGAATGACCTTACAAAGCTTCGGAGACTACCTGAAGTACATGCAGGGCAAAGAGAGAAGAAGTTTCAGTGAAAGTACCTGGAACGGTTGCTTTCGAATGACCCTACAATGCTTCGGTCACTACCTGGAGTACATTCGAGGAGAGCTGCGCAAATGCGCAGGGCGTATAGGAGGTGCCAATGTGATGGCCTGCGCGTGCAGGCATACTGTGGCACGTTTGTGACTTGAAATCCCGCGCTTGTTTCTCCAATCCCGACTGCGGCGGGTCAGCTGAGAAGCTGTTCCCGATCTTCTTGGTGTGAGCGCTTGGCAAGTGGACCGTCCTCAGCTCGTAGGTGCACAAACCCACCTTTTGTTTGCTGTTGGCCTGTTGGCCTTTGCCTTTTCCTAGGATGTAGGCCTGTGCAGTGTCGCATCAATTTTTGATTTGGTTGCTTGGAAACAGGGTCCCAGTTCAGCTGATGCTTCAGCTGGGCGAGGGCCTGCTTTCCACAATGGCTTGTGTTAATTCGGTGCATGTGCGGCCACAGGCTCGGCAACCGCAAGAAGAAAACAAAAGGTGCGTTGCACCAACTGCAGTAGCACCTGCATTTGTACACCTGTATGATGATGATGATGATAATGATGATGATGGCTATGACCGTGATGTTGGTAGTGGTGACGGTGGTTGCTCTTTGCAATTTCTTTCGGGGCAACCAACGGACCAACGGAATTTTCTGCAGCGATCCCTGGGCCACGATGCGTGTCACATCCGTTCAGGTCAAGAAGCACTTGGCCAAGCATCTCCCAGGCCACTGTGTCGTGCAGCCCTCCAGCGTTGGCAGCGAGCCCGCTGGCGCCGTCTCCGCGGCACCCTGGGGACAGGCGAGGGTTGTCGAAGGGCACCTTTCTTGCGACGGAGAAATTGGAACCCATTTACATACAGACAGAGATAGAGACAGACAGACATGCATACATACTGATGGCCCATGTTCATTAATCATAGGATATGGGTATATATTGTAAATATAATTGAATCATAGTGAATGAATCGGCTGGGCTAGCTAGTTGGCGGCTTTGGATGCCTTGACCGAATTGTGCAGTGGTTGCAAGACAAAAGATCCATAGCATGAACTGCAATCCACAGGCCGGCATCGCTTGCATCCCTTGGATGTTTTGCACCATGTTGGGAAAGCAGGGCGTCCTGGACAGTGCCAGGCAGGGCGGCGAAGCAGAGAATACTTTTCCGGGGTGCCAGCCACGAACATTGTTTGAGCCTCCATCATAGACCACAAAAGATTGAACATATTGAGAGTCGGGTGGTACATTGGCCTAGGGAGGTTTGAAAAACATGAACCAAAAATGTGGCCTAACTTCGACAGTTTTGCGATTTCAGTCTTTGAGCAGATCTCATATGCAGCACTGACCTGTTTCCCACATTTGCCCGCCCAGAATATGTCCACATCACAGGTGTTTTGGATAAGTTTCTTGTAAACTTGGGGAGGTATTCCATCCTGAACGCCAACTACATGAAGTCCCGTTTGGAGCCCCACTTCGACATTGCACCCACCAACAAGAGCTTCGGATGCAGTCAAAAGGCGTAATTGGATAAGTTGACATTTTGGACCGAAGACCCCGCACTTTGGCGGTGAGTGCCAGCCACTTGGCTGCCAGATCTGGTGCAGGGTCGGATGCCCAATCTTCGAGTGGACAAAGATCCAGCTGACAGTCAAAATTTGAGACAAGTAGTGGAGGATGAGAACTCCTGAAGAGCCAAGGCTGGGTTGATATCGTGGTTTTTGATTGCTACAACAAGTGCCCATGATTGAGGAACAACAAGTGCGCCCATGAGTTCATCATGGACTTCTCCGAGATCCGCAAGAAGACCGGCATCGTCGAGGAAGACATTGCCAAGCGCCTGCAGGACGAGATGCGTCGCCTTTGGGGAGATGACATGTTGAAAGGTGTTTTGGGTGATATATAACGTGCCTGTCCTCATCAACATCCTATGATGGTGCATTGCCACCCAGTCATCCCGCCTACAAGAATGATAGTTCATTGAAGAACGCCAAGTGTCTTTGGGTGCCCCACAGTCACAGAAACCACATGAAACCACATGTCCAAACCTCAGCTGCAGAAACCACTTGTCCTCTTCCAGGACTATGGTTTCCATGCTCCGACCATGTCTTGGCCTGTGCCGCACTCCTTGATGATCGAGCCCACCGAGCTCCTTGGCAACGCAGTGCAGCCGTAGGAGCCTGGAGTCGCATCTCAGAGGGTGTAGGAGATCTTTAAGCCATCGTAATCTATGTCCTTTTTTGCAGTAGCATGTTGTATCATGTTGTATCATTGTGATGTTTCTCTTTGGGCTACCCCTACTGCGACTTGGCTCAGGAGGGAGGAGTTGTGCGACTTGTCTCTTTGCGTCAAACCCTGCTTCCAGATGCCACATAGCAAGCCTGGAATTCATGTAAAGTCTTATATAATATGTTAAGTAATATGTTAATATGCTTACTTTTCTGGCGCCAAGACCCTACCCCAGCCAGGTAATGGCTTTCATACGAGATGCTTCTTCAACCGACCCGGGAGCGGGTCAAGTGAGTTGTGTCGGCTTTCCCACCAAGCCTCATATGTGATCATTTGTCCTTGTCAGCCAGGTAGTTGCAGGATTCCAAGCTGCTGCTGGTCGGTCAGCAGTAGGAAGCGACCAAGTCCATGCACAGATGTAGCTACACTCGTTCAGAGTCATGGAGTCGCTGGCTGAACATGGCACAAAGCATCCTTTGGAAGCTTGACACGTCTGACATGTCTCAGGCTTTATGATTATGGGCATGGGGTCATGACATATCATAACCATGTCCCCGACCTGAAGAATCGCATATAATCGCATCACCTCTCCAACGGCCGGATAACGCATGCCCGCTGCCCTAACAGGCCGATGAGAATCGTCTCAAACCTTCACACTTTCTCAGGTCTGAAGATAAGGCCGAGTTGGATCGCTTCTGCGATTCCATGATCTCCATCCGCAAGGAGATGTGATTCTACATGCATCCGCAAGGGGGGTTGGGTGGGGGGTTGATGATGTTCGTTTGGACGTGCTTCCACGTGCATATGTATTTGGATGCATTTGCCGAAGCAGCTTCACAATAATTACTCTAGCATCAACCCGAAACAGCGGCGACAGCTTGATGTTTTTGGCCAATGTGGCTTGCTGTTGCAGTGCCCAACCCCAGTTGACCAAAAGCATACGGGTCAGGTTGGGTCATTCCCAATTCAAATATCCAAGAAGAAGAGCCATGAGAGACAAAGGGAGACAAAGCAGAATCGTCTCAGCCCAGCATCCAAGAAGATCCATGACGACAAAGGGACGCAAGCAAAAGTCTCGGCCCGGCATCCGAACACACCTCCCAACCTCATGGTCGCTAACAAGGCCGTGACCCTGCTGAACAAAACCCGAGAATCTATGTTGATTCATTTGATGATTCTGTTCTGACGGTTGCGGCCTTTCGCCAACATATTTGTCCAATCCCTTGAGGAGATTGCCAAGATCGAAAGCGGTGAGTGGCCCGCGGAGGACAATCCCTTGAAGAATGCGCCACACACTCAACATGAGTGTTGCGCCAGCGAATGGACTCACCCGTATAGCCGGGAAGAGGCCGCCTTCCCTGCGCCGTGGCTCTTACAGCGTGGCAAGTTTTGGCCCACCGTGGCAAGGGTCGACAACTCCTTGGGGGATCGCAAGCTCAAGCTGCGGCTCGAGGAATGAGCCAACCTCCTGGAGTTGACTTGACAGGTTGCATACTCCGGATCTTCAAGAATTGTCAAAAAAAACAATGTTAGACGTTGTTTGATCATGTTGTTTTCTTTGTTTGACAAATGCTTTTGCTGGGCAGATGGTGTTTGAAGATGTTTTAGAGTCACAAGATGTACATCGCAAGACGCCTTTTTGCATCCTCAGGTTGAACTCAGGGAATGCAACCATTTTTCTCCACTTTTGTCCTTAGATCGCCGTAGATCCCAAGATGAAAGTTCGTCTCACAGCGCATAGACCCTTATGAAGGGACGATGCTGCAACGCCTGAGGGGTGTTGCCAAATCCTCATTTCCCTCACTCTTGTGTGGCCCGCGTCGTCGAAAAAGGGATTCTGCCCCCCAGCACATGAATTGCAGGTTTGCTTCAGAAACTTCAGAACATGAGCCAGAGGAATTGGATGGAAGTCAGCCCCGAACATCAAGGATTGTCGAGGTTCATATTTGCCCGGAAGGCATCCTCTCAAAAGGCTCGATGCTCCCACCATCGATTTCCGGAATTGGCAGAAAAGTTGCAGACAAACATTGCATGTGTTTTTGCTATCCTTTCATCTCGTAGTTTTACTAGTTGTTTTCCCTTGGAGGAAGGGACCGTGTTAATGAAATTAATGACATATACATATATACGCACATCTAATACCAATTGGGATTGCTCCTTCACCTGGCGTGTACTGGTTATTTTATTGTTTGCTTTCTCTCTGCAACTGGTACATTGCTGCGAATTTATTACATATACAGTATAGGTTCGTTCTAGGCACCCCCCTGTGTGGTACAGCCAAGTCATCCATTTCATCCAACTTCACTCCCTTCTGGACGCGCGTTTCGATCGGCATTTACCGGCCTCTTGGAACCAAACATGCCATTCATCGGCCGCTTGTTGATCTGTGGAAGATGCGGTTTTCCCACCCCGCTGGCCCATCCGGCATGGTGCTTTGGAATGGTTTGGAGGTATCCCAGCCATGGCATCATCGGCGAGGAGTTTGGAACTCTTCGGTCAGAGGCAAAGATGGAGCCTCGGCATTGACAGAACAGTTCGTCAAAGACCACAGGCAGACCAGTGACCAGTCGGTGGTTTCTCTCAAAAATGATCGGAAGTTTCTTCCACTTGAAGTACGGTTTCAGATTGGTGTCAGCATTGCGCCATGCCAGCCATGCAAATGACTTGGCAGTGTGTGCTGATCTCGACCGGTTATCCACGCACAATTAAGCAGAACGACCACTGTCACTAATTACTAGATGTCGATTGCATTTTGCTCAGTCTTCCTGGAGTCCTGGAGGGAAAATGTAAAAAGGATTTTAACAGGGTTATTCTTGGGCTTCAATGTTAGTATGTCAATTAATTTTAACTTTTAAGTGGTATCCTTTGCTTTGATGTTGTTTCTTGATTGTTGGGGCGAGTGTTGGGTTCCCAGGTCTTCAGTTTGTCTTGCTGTTCAATTTTAGGGTGGCTAATCGTTGTAGCTCTTCTAACGGTGAGAGTGTTCAGTATGTTCGCTTGCCCGTTGTCCCTGGATGTATGGAGCAAGCTGCAAGCTGCAAGCTGAAACAGTCCCGGAAGTTCATTGGATGATTCGCAGTGCTTGGCCCAAATAGTATTATATATTAGCGTTGGCCAACAGGGGGGCCCGGCCGTGTCACCTCCCTAGCTCACCATGAAGCTGCGCCCAGTGCTTTGGATGCACACATGCGCAAATGAATCCAGATTCGTGAGCTTTTAACAGAAAGCTTTGTCTTTGGCATGAGGTTCTCCTATTGCTGCTTTGCAGCACTCCACTAGCCGCGTGGAGCCCAGACATGACTACAGGATGTTGATTTTGCATGTGTATGCAGGATGTATGTAGCTGTAGCTTTTGCCACGGGGCTGCTTGAAGTGCGCCGAGGTTGAGCCTTTTCCTGCTCATCATGATTTTGATCCTGAGGAGCACGCATTGCTGCACTTAAGGAAGCAGCCTGCTGATGATCCTAACGATCATGAAGAGCCCGAAGGTGATGCCAACGAGATGGATGATGGAGCTGAAGCAGAAGACGACAATCACGACGGTGAAGATGACCACAATCACGACGCCGAAGATTACAATGCTAGTCAGGATGTAAAATTCCTTTGTCCCCGTCGACGGCGGGGTGGGAGATTCAACTGTCATGAAGAGTGCGGGCCTCCTTGTGATTGAGATATTTTTTTGAGACGCAATCTTATGACATCGTATGAACACTTGTGCCACCAAACGGCTCAAAGCCCAGAAGCGGCTTAGTCAGTTCTGAGTGGAACGATGGAGCCTTAGGCCAAAAGGGTGTTCTTCAGCAGGTGAGTCACTTCAGTTGCTTGGGGGGTGGCTCAAGGCCACCGGGGGTGCCAAACAGTTGACAGGTTTGGAACCAACAGGCCCCGCTGCTTCAACCCATTCATTCACTTCACGCGCTGGTGTTCAGCGCACACAGGGGTTGCTTGATTCCTGATTTTGCCCTCTGCTGAGAACAGTTGTCTTACACCGTCGTTTCCACAAAACAGGCACGCAGCCGGTCATATTTCATCCGTCGCGGTCAGGGTATGTCGGGTTGAGCCAACAGCTTGAGCTCATCGTAGGTCTAAACCTCCCGACAGCGGACCGCGACTGAGTCTGAAGATGTTTGAAGCAGAGAATAGGCACTCTGGAGATTCTGGTGTTTGTTCTGGGGCTGGCTTCAAACGATTAGTCTCCAACACAGTCTCCAACGTCCAGCAATGATTAGGTGAGTGACGAGATGCTCTTCTTTTGAGAACCTTTACACGAGTTCACACGTCACAGAGTACACACAGAAACCTACAGAAAAGTACAATCAGATACTCTAGGCCGCCATGATGTTCTTGATGCAGTGCAAACCCGATGTGACTGAACATGATGTCTTTGTTCAGGAGGTTTCACTGACCCGATTCTCATCCTATCCCACCATTCCCTTCACTACGTATATGTTTTTAAGCAGGAGGCTATGTCGCCACTGAAGGTCCAAAGCTTGAGAACCCACTGTCCGTGAGACCTTCCCATAGTAGATGCGACCAACTTTCCGTTCCTTTAGGCTTTTTGCAAGCTGCACCCAAACGCAGGATGCCAAAGGTCCAGCAAGTTCCAGAGTGGCCGGATCACTCGGGCCGTCGCACCCAGTCGATCATCGACCATGGGGACCATGCAGACCCCGAAACATCGAATGTGTCCTGCGTTGCATTGCTTCGGGTCCTGCGACCGAGGAACATTGAAGGGCCCAAGGAACTTACAGTAGGGCCTCACAGGTAGCGAGAGAACGGGTTCGGGCATGACATGGCTTGGTGGTTCCATCTCGATTCCAAGGTGACCAGGACCCAAGATCCCATGCACCGCCACCACTGGGCCCGAGGTATGGGTCTTAGATCCCATTGATGGCACCAAGTCCTTCATCACAGGTGGGGGGCGATGATGGTCCGGGTGAGAAGGGAAAGTAGATGACTGAGGGTGGAGGATTTTGTGACATGGATGATTCTGGATGATTGGAGCTAGATGGATGACATGATTTTAAGAGAACTTGACAGCTTTGTTATTGTTCGTTTTAACTGTTGTCAAAGGAAAGGGCACCTCTACGAAAACACTTGCAAGACGACTAGTACTGGGGACACCCTTGGGAATGGTGATATTTTACTTGATGCGGCATCTCCAGATCAATTCCCCACGAAGTTGAAGTTTGAAAAGTCAACTGAAGCACCAAGTAACAACTGCTGTACCCGCACGTCGCTAAGCTCACGCCGTCCCAGGCAAACCCCTCTTTGGCACACTCATCGCGTTGCTGGAAGACGGGAATCCAGTCCTGGGTGTCATCGATCAGCACCTCGGGTGCATTGAAGCGACAAGCAAGCTCCTTTGCGATGACCCTGCCCAGTGCCCCAAGGTTATTTCTTTTGAAGGTTCGTTCATTGTTGATCTATGTTGATGCAAATGTCCTGTTCTTGTTTGGATGTTTTTTTGCGGTCTTTGATTATTTGGGGGTTACGCGGAGAAACATGCCCACCACACAGCAACAATCAAACAGATCTAATTTGAAGATAGCTGGCCGCTGTCCAATTACTGTATTTGATTTCGTTGTTCGACGCATTTGTTTCCAGATTGTGTGTGCCGGCCACAGCATGCACCGCCGCAGTCTCAGCCATCCAGTTATGGCCAGAAACCTCGCAAGAGCAAAGGAATGTGACACCCAAGTTGGCTGTTTGAGATGTCGGAAACTGGACTATGTGGCAATGCCCAACTTGTTCCGGGTCAGGAGTATATTTAATGGTCAAAACTACGATGCGACTGGTAACAGCATGTCAGCAACCGGTGGGGTCGAGGTGTGTGCTCCGAGAGCGCTGGGTGGGTGCAAATGGCCGCACTGTCTCATGGCAGCAGGTGTGCCGTATTCCCGTCGGTGCGTCACGTCACACAGCGCATCAGTAGGTCGCCCAACTGAATATGTTGCAGCTGGTTTTGGAGTTGGCATCATGCAACTGGATGAGAGTGACGAGATCCAGAAATCTTTTGGACCATGTCCAAGCCATGTCCGCGACGCAGACACCGTGGATTTGATCACCGACTTAAATAAACCATAAAGTTGGATCGACTTGCAGGATTGGGCTCCCAGAACTCACTGGGCCTTACCAAGTCCCACCAAATCCCTGGTAGTTTGACCATCATAGTCTATAGCTAGTTTGGCATGTTTAGACCATGGTCTCGCGGTTCAGACTCACAGCCTCATCGAGGTCTTCAACAAGAAGCCTATCCAAGCTGCGGATCGTTCTTGTGCCCGTGAGCTGAAAGAGGCCATGATGTACAGCACCACGCCACACATGTTCGGTCCGGCTGCCCAGAGGATCCCAGAGGTCCCCAGAATTGCCCTACCCTCCATTCAGTGCAAGTGAGTTTCTTGCTTGTTTGAAAGCCAAATTCAGAAGTACACAACTCCCAACCATGGGATACAACAAAGCATCAAAAACAACATTAACAACACGCAGAGCATCACCTACTAGACTGAACCCCTTCTTTTACACAGTCGCTGCTCTCCGGCTGAGCCGTCGCCCAGCCCAGGCGCCGGCTACGAGGCCCAGCGCTTCGACCAACTGCGCCGCGCGGTGAAGCGCCCGCTCTACGGTTGCGACTGCGGCTCGGCCCGGAGAACCGGTGAATGAATCCCGCGAGAACGGAGAAGCGGTGGAGAGAAGCGAACCAGATTCCCCTGGCTTGGAAGGATTCCAGGAGAAAACCTGAGAAAGAAGTAGGGGATCGTTGGGATTGTGGGGGGTCATAGACAAAGTCAGGTCATGTCAGGTCACATGGCATTATATGATACAATCATTAAATGCATGTTGTTTTGCAATGCGGCCGGCGCCATCAGAACAAACATCACATTTCGCAAATTTGAGGGTTGAGAAGTCCCGTGAAGTGGGGAGTGTCCCCACTCCTCTCTTGAAGTGCTGATAGAACATGTTGGCTGCATGATTGCACAGCGGTGGTTGAGGCTATGCCTACCCTAATAGCAATGGACTCCACCCTAAATAGCAATGGCCTCCAACCTAAGAACTTGATTGCACAGCAGTGCCTCAGGCTATGCTTATGGCCTTTGTGCCTCTGGATTTGGTGCCGATCTTGTGGTCGAAGCAGACTTGGGCATCTCGGAGAAGACCTGTCCGATCCGTTTGTTGCATGACTGTCCTAAAAAATGCTATATATAATAGGTTTGTTTGATTTGGGGTCACCATGTAGTAAAGTAGTACCTGGGGCCTGGAGGTGCTGAACAAAAAAAAAACAATATCCAGATGGTCCAGATGTCCATGTTCTCGTTGATGGCACATGATTGCATAACATAATATGTTTACATAAATAAGATACCGGTGACTTTGTGTGCTTTTTTGTGGTTTTGCTTTTACACCAGCCAGGTATCTATGACTACATGGCATTGGTGCCGGTGGTGCTTGGTGCCGGTGGATTGATGACGGACTGGCATGGCCGGCCGCTGACCTTGCAGAGCCATGTGTCATGGCCGGCCAGGAGATGGCGCAGGAGGGATATCACCAGCTGAAGTGGACCTGAGGGTTTGTGAATGCTCCCGGATTTCTCTCAATACTTGAATGATCTCGGTTCCCTATAAGCTTTCATTCAGATATGGTTGGGGTGCAGAAGTTGTCTGGAAATCGAAGAGGTACACCAAAGCAAGTGAAGCATGTTGATTCTACATTGGCAGCATCCTGGCTCGAGACGCTCAGCGACTGCTGGCCACACTGAGGCGGTGTCACGAGGGCGGGTGGTTGCCGCAGGAAACGAAGAGCTTTGGAAGGCCGAGAAGGGAGCCAAGCTGCTTTGTGAACCACAAGCATTTATGTCTTTCAGGGTTTTTCCTTGGAGAGCGGACCTTGGTTCCATGATTTCTGCGGAGGCGGCGGTCAAGATCTTGAGCTCGTGTGTGCCAGTGTGGCCGGAGATCTCATGGCCATCCTTGGCGACAGGTGGGGCTGTTGGAAGGAATAATGGTGCATCTCCAGTTAACCACTGTTTATGTCAGCAGTCCAGGAACCTCCAGATGTTGCATGATGTTGCATGTGTTGTGAAAACTCAACTCTTTCCAACCGGCTTTTGCGTGTCAGTTCATGTGCGTTCATGTGGTGAACATCCAAGCTGTGCACCACCGACCGGTCCATAGACGTTTGATCTCCCCAGGCGCAGTTCTGGGCGCTTTGGCCGCTGGACTCCTCCTGCGCCGGACCGCGTCCGGTCAGCGGTAGCGGTCAGCGGTGGTGGGAAGAGCAGAAGGCCGCAGGAACGCCGGTGACCTCGGAGAAAAGGAACATGACGACCGTGAGTTGGGATGGGGAATGGATGGGAATGGTGATGACCTGTAGTGACCTGGTGACTTCTGAGAAGGTGTATATTCTTTATTTTGTTGAGTTTTGTTATACAGTACAGTATTTCTATGTACGGTAGTGTTAATGGTGAGGATCAATTGGACTTCCATTTCCAGTGGTGCTAGTAGCACTGACTTGCTAGCTTTCAGTCTTAAGATCCCAGTGGATGCCGGTCACCACTCCGGTGCCAGCTGAGTCCGATTCATTGCACGGCCATATCCCATCTCCGGTGAACCCCAGGTTTCCCTTGTGCTTGGGGGTCTTGGGGGGCCAAGTCCACTGAAGCGGCTGAAGCCGCTGAAGGTAAGTAGTCGACTACTCCATGTGCGCCCAAGCCAGTCCAGCATATTCAGAAGATCAGATGGTGCTTGTATGATCTTAGTATTTGTTTACATCACTTCCCGACTTGAATTTGTATGGATTTGTGCGATTCCATGTCTTGGGGCTATTTGTGAGGGCTGTCACAATCCTCCAACTTGGAAACCTTTATAGAAGTATATAGCTATATCTGGTGCTTAGCGATGCCAGGAGCCCTTAGTAGCGTCCTTGCTCCTAGTAGTATGGCCAGGAGCCCCTAGTAGCTTCTCCGCGCCAGGCCAATGGCGAAGTCTATGCCCGCCTGGAGCGTGACAGCTCTCGACCCCGCTACGCTCGAACACCCGGTACGGAGCTGTGGAGATTGGTTTGTCCAACCAGCTTCAATCTGACACACATGTTGGCATGTTTTGACTTGTTTTGACTTGTCAGAAAACATGCCAAAGCCTCCCCAAACCACTCGGACTGGCGGAAGGAATGGCACGCGGACCCCCGGCTGGTCCACCAACTCTTTTGGTGCCAACGGTTTTAACGTTTGTGACAGGCATCAAAGGGGCTGATGGACTACTTTAAACAGCACAGACCAACTACTTTTGGTAGACCATCCTGAAACAAAGAAGTGAAGTGTCCATAGACTTTGAACTTTGGCTGCCTTTCACACATCACCTCGTGAAGTGGAAGGAGTGCATTTCCTCCGACAGTGCGTATGAAAAAGATTGAGAACCCATGAAGGAGAGAAAGATCATGGAAATCCATGGAAATCCTTGATCTCAATTCAACTGGTATTCGTGCGAACTCAGAACAATGCTGGTCCGTGAAGCTTGAGGGTGAGCCCATTGACCAGCTGCGAAGGTCATGACCAAGAAGGCGCCCAACGCAAACAGCATGGACCTTAGCGACCGCGGCAGGGCCTGGATGGGCCTGGAGAAGAAATCCATGGCATTCCGATGGTGATTCAAGACATCGGGATCGTGTCCGCCTCTGATTTGGTCGAGCCTGCAAACCCACCTGGGATCTACCCAAAAGCTTCGGCGTCTCTAGTGTGCGGGTGTTTGCAAGCCAGCCAACAAACCTGTGCTGGTAGATTGGCCTTCACCACCTGTCTCCGTTGGTGGTGCGCTAGCTGTTTGCTTAGAAAGCGTTCGGTAACAAACCCCCTAAGCTTCGGTCAGCTGTTTGTCTAAGCCGGCGTGGGGCACCAGAGGGTCGTATCGTTTGGGTCGACCAGCCCATCCACACTGCCGTAGTGGTGGGCAAGTGCATTGTGGAACAGCAAGGTTCTCACCATCGGCCTTGTTGCAGTGGGGTTTCCTTGATATCATTATTGCTACCACTGGACTGTCAACGAGCCTTACTCTATCCCATGCGCATGAGCAAGATCATGCACAGATTCACACGGCTTCTTTCAACTGGTATTCCAACGTTCCGCACTTGACTTCCAGCACTTTAGAAAGCTCCACGGCACTCCATACTGCCCCACCGCCGGACCCCCCATCGCTGCTGTGCAGCTCCACACCTTCTCTTTGACGGGATCTTCAAAGAGCACGCGGTGTTGGTCTCTGATGGCATTCAAGCCGTCAGGGGCACCAAGCGGGTGTTGGCCACCAGGGGCAGTGGGAGTTCTTGGAAGCTTGGCGTGGTTCTTGGGTTTTGTTGGGCATTATGCCGACAGCTTTTGAATACGCCGGTACTTGTGGCTTGGTAAGACATGGCAACACTACAGAGTCTTCGCTCCTGCTTTGATATTCTTACAGGTGGTTCCATGTGTGGTTCTCGAATTGGCTTGTTTGTTGTGTAGGTCAACCCTAGATTTTTGATGTTTGATGCGTTGCCAGGCCACATTTGATAGACTATTGACTATTGATCCCTAAGCATGTGAACTTTTGGCCTCGGCTTTGACAGAGATGACTGTAGGGTTCTCCTACAGGCTGTCCAGGTTGTTACAGGTGCCTCGACCCCATTCAGCGTAGCAATGGGCACTTGTGGCCATGACAGTTCAGCGAAAGAAGAGTAAGGCTCAATAGTTCTGCACGTGAGAATATCAGGCCAAGGCAAAATAGCCTTGAGAGTTCCATTTCTATGCAGATCAACCACAGACCCTAATGTCCTGGTGCGTCAACGAAGTTGCAATCGCCATGTGTCCTTCCCTTCCCCTTAGATTTCCTACCCAGCACTCCTAACACTGATGGCTTATGAAAGCAAGCTCCGCCAATGGTGCCTTGGTTCCACAGGAGCCGACGGCGGATGTCGAGCCCTGTTCCATGTCCTTTGACCCGACTGGCAACTTCTACCGGCAGGGCAGCAAAGAACCGGCTTGGGTGGGTGAATTGAGGGGCTCCATCCATAGGGTCGGGTGTGCGAAACGTCTAGAGACTTGGTACATAACACTGTGGCAGTAGCTTGACGATTGAGAAGTTAAGGTACTAGGTAAGAGGACCTGGAAGTGCAAATGCTGCCATGCAGAGTCGAAGGATGATGAAGGCAGCTGTTCAACGTGACGGAAAGACCCTCACGCGTCCAGGCTTTGAAAGCTTGTGCGGCCCACATATATCCATTCAAGCTTTCAGCACATCAGAGCACCTTTGGAGGCCATCGCTACTAGAAGGGAGGCCATCGCTAGTAGGTTGGTGGCGGGTGCTCAGTGGAGACAACCATCAGGCTTCGTGTGTCCTCGGATGTGGACGTGGGCCTCATGATTTGCTGCTTGCTCTCCATCGATGAGCCTTGGATGACCGAGACCGGCCGTGTCGTGTGCTGTTTGATTTGGGTTGGTGGTTCACAGCTTAGACCGGCCGGGGAATGGACCTAGATATTGAGGGTTTTGAGCGCCCCAGGCACTTGAAGGCACGCGGTATTCCACAGGCAGGACCCATGTCCCCTCATGTTTGATGAGTTTCATCGCCGAGGAGCTGGTCCGAATGGGCATCTGAGCGCATGGCTGGCGTCACTGGGTCATGGGATGCCCTCCTTGCGGCGCAAATTCACGACTGCCAGTCAGATGGATGATGGGCAAGGCTCACTGGCGTGTTCAGTCAACTCACCAGTCTTTCCATTCCCATTCGAAAATCCCATTGGAGCTAGAGCCCAAAGGCTTTCACAAGGACTGGAGACGCCAACCAATGGTTGATACAGCAAGAAATGATGGAACATGCAGGGGCAGAATGCCGTTTCGGAGTGCAGACGGTCCCTACACGTGTGTGTTTGTGTGCGTGTGCTCGCGTGCACACCATTGCCAGAATGGGTTTCTTGGTTTTAACTTATATAGCCAGCTTGCTGGGACTTCCATCCCCGGGAGCTTCTATGGAGTGAATTTGTAGCAAAGAGTTACATGCCAGCCGTTGACATTGATGATTTGATGCATTGCTTCAAACTGCCACAGCCAGCTCTGTGGGGAGTGAAAGGCCATTCCAAATAGTGTCGGAGAAAAGATATGCTGTGAAAGTCAGAGGTGATAGGATCGCAACCAGTAATGGCGAGCACTTGTTGTGCGACTATTCAAGATTCTAGGTACTAGTAACGCATACAACTATTAATTAGCAAGGCAAGCACGTGTGTTTCTTTTTTTCAATCATGTGACCCCACAACCAAAAACATATATATTATACATTATCATACAGTATATTGTTGGTTCAAGAAACGATTGAAAATGCAAGCCCACCGGCACCATCGGTAGAACCAGCACGTTTCGTCGTCACCGTGATCCGAGGTGCGCGAATTGAACCAGGGCATTCCTTAGCCAGGGCTCCTGGCTGAAGCCCGAGGGACTGGAGGTTTGCTGAGGGACTGCGTAACCGGTGCCGCTGGTGGATTTCGAAGGATCACCGCTGTTTTGGGGGGTGACGGCCAGCCGCAGCCCTTTTTTGGGGGGGAAGGTATGAAATAGCACTGTGCAGCACATTTCTACAACCTGGTCATGTTCGTTTTGGATGAATTCAGCTTGATGCACCTTGGTGACAGATGTGGATTGAGTATGATTGAGTCAGAGGTTCATCCAAAAGGTCCCCCTTCCGAAGGGCGTTTTTCGACCTGTCGACGCTGGACTTCTCTCGTCTTGAGGATTCCGGCTCGCCTGGGACCTCGCCACCTCAGGCAGGGTCCGTTCCTGTTCAGGATCAGAACGTGACAGGGGCGTATGTGATCTTTTACATCCATCGGAGTCTTTTTGAGCATGACCTGGGAAGAAGCAAATGGCCCGTTCTTCCCAATGTAGGCATAAGATGGCATAAGTATGCACAAGTGTCTTGAAGAATTCAACCTTCAAAACAATATTAAGGACTGTCGCAACTGTTGATGTTTGCTCCATGTTGGGCAAGGACTTTTAGACGGCTGCTCCTCGGGTGAGTGGAAAACTCCTAGATCTATTTGGCACTTGATGTGATCAACGACCCTTAACCAACACACCACAACTACTGTGGACCTCCAAAAAGGCCTTGCTCTTGTGACAGGATCTATTTGCTATGCTTTGCTTGATGTATTGACATCCTTGACTCTCATGCTAACACATGCTAACACGCTGGACAGTCAAGCAATGTTCTAACAAATCACAAACCGACAAACAGAGGGGC